TTGAGTTCCAATTTTGGGTGAAGGTATCCCCTATATATTAGGTTGGCGGTAAAGTTCTGTCATATTTTTTCAAAGTACGCTTTATTTTTATGGAGAGGCGTGTAAGATCGAAATTATACAGCAGTGTTACTGCGAGGTCCTTGCCAGTTTTTGAGCACCTCACAGACGCCATCGCTTCACAATGCAGGGAGGAGCGACGCAATGTTGGACATCATCTCAATTTTGACTTTGCCGATGGTAGCGGATGACATCCTTGTCCATATTGCAAAAGACGAAGAAAGCAAGGAGAAACAAGCGAGTGTAAGTTGGAAACGGGGAGAAACGACCACGCCTCGATGATTATAGGTGCTCACACTACGCGTACCCTTCTTCAGGTAACGGGCAAATGTATTTTTGATTTGAAAGTATGACAGAACATTCCCGCCAACCTAATATATTCGCTAAAGTTTGTGTTGTGTGTGTGTGTGTGTGTGTGTGTGTGTGTGTGTGTGTGTGTGTGTGTGTGTGTGTGTGTGTGTGTGTGTGTGTGTGTGTGTGTGTGTGTGTGTGTGTGATCGGAAACTTGGTAAATTCCTTTGAATTAGCCGTAGAGAGTTCAAATTGGTAGGTGATGTAGGAGGTATGGCAGGAACACCATTCATAGGTGACAGGAAGTGATAAGAACTGACAAAGGCTTGCAAGGGGGCTTAAAAGGATAGGGCCACCAAATCCATAACTCGCGTCCCATTTGATGGAACATGGGTTCAAAAAGTTAAATGGGGGGGAGGGGGGCTGGACGTCGTGAGCATCACAGACGCACACACACGCACAGACATAGCCGATTATATGTGGTAGGATTTTGGGAGTTCATTTCTCAAAGACTGCGAAGGAGACGATAAATTTACTCGATGGCGGAGGACTACGTAGAATGGTATGCAGTAAGATCTATTTCCTTTAGTAGGTCCTACGTGAAGTTGTGTCGGTCATTTGATTAGAATGCAAGTATAGTATCTATCAGAATAGAAAGATAGAATTAACTGCATATCACTCTACGTAGTTCGCTGTTGTTGAAAGTTTTCATTCATCACTCCGTTATTCATGAAATATCTTTTGTTTTCCACCGGGGTAAGACCATTAGTTAGTGTCAAAAACTCATGAAATGTCAGTCTGCGAAAGTCGGTGAATTTGGTTTGAAAGTCTTGATGTGCAGCTGTTTGCGTACATACGAAGATCGTAGTAAAACACGCATTCCAGCGACGGAGAACAAGCAGAAGTGAGTGAGGCCGTGCGGCAGCTCGGGCGAGGTGTGGCGACAGCGTTTGGGTAGGCCACTCTCTAGCCTTGTTTCCGTGTCACCTAAGAGCGGAGAAAGTGACACGCTTCTTCGGCTGTTGATCCATTCACCTCACACATGGCAAGGAATAGGTTCCAGACATGGTGAGAGTACAGCTTGCTCTTGAGTATTGCTATTTGAATGTGCCCATAAATTGTAATTACCTCTGTCACATTCATGCACAGACACATATGCATGGAAGAAAGCGATACCCCCAAAAAGCGAAAATTTGCTGCTAAGGTGATCTCAACCAGCAACCCGTCAGCTTTGAGAGGATCTTTCACGTCATCTCTGCCATCTGCTCGTTGCAGCCGCATGCAGCTCCTGTTAGGAAGCCATCGCTCATTGATTAGGGTAGAACAGTGGTAGCCAGCATATGTACAGTTCATATCACCGTACTGTCGGATCGCAATCAGCGGTTCCACCTGCGGCCTTCCCACCAGTGGCTGATTCCTTCCTACATCGATCATTGCTCGATCACCATTGGTAGAGCAAGGCGGCCGGACGCGAGCTCGTGCCGCGCTGCGCTCGCCGCCCCCGACAAATTGCAATGTTACAAACTATATACAGGGGGGGGGGCAAAAAAAGCACTTCGACCGAGTCACATATCAGCAAAGTTTTCGCTGCCCAGACAGAGGACGTGGATACGAGTACCAGGGCGGAAGATACCCAAGATGTTCCTCTATAAGCAGGAGCTGGCTCTCGCCCATCACCTTCATGTACACCAAAATATGAAGTCATCTCCAGCCGCAACCTGACTGGAGAAGACCTTCGGAATTCATGTCACCTCCAAACAGCTGCGAAACTTCTAGTATGGAGTCACCCATGGATAGCTACCTGGAGACCAGTACTCTCGATCTGGATGACCTCCAACATCGAGCAGCTCCGACAACGTCGCCACGGTCTAGGACATCATCTTCACCACAGTCGCCAAGGCGCGGGTTGATGGTATGGACCGGACGTACCTGGAATGGAAAGACCAATATTTTCTTCGGACCCCGGACATAAGGTGAGCGCTGGCGGTTACATTGAGCAACTCGTGAAGAATATCCTCCTCACATGTCGTCGCCCGTACCTTCTTGGAAACTTTGTACTGCTACAGCATTGGGTGCCACCACATGGAATCGAAGGGCGTTGGAGAAACTCTCGCCTACTTGGAATGGAAGGGGGCTGAGTACCTAAAGAAGATGGAATATCCAAGTAGGTCACCTGACCTGAATCCCCTCAATTACCCGGTTCGGGCGGAGTTCAATAGGGTGGTCTACGGTGGCGGAGAAATCGACTATCTCGCTGATCTCAGGCACCACATCGCGGTCGCGAATCTCTCGATGGCGCTCGTCCAGAAGGCTGTGGCGGAGTGTCATGATAGTATTTAATATGCTCTTTAATATGGTGGTGAAAATGTCCGATGAGAATTTAATAAAGTGTAACTTATAGCGCCTCGGTCAATGAAGAAAAGTGACTTTTTTGCCCCCCCCCCTGTATACTGGTAAGCAACGAAGGCAGAGTACTCAACTCAGAAGTATATGTGGACAAAAAACCAATAGGCACATTCAGCATCGTGATCACTCATTCCAAGGTGACGAAAAATGAACATTAATAGGACATATTTTGAACATTTTGTCATCGTTCCTGCGATTTTATGAGATACCAAAGTTCGCCATCAAAAGATGCTAGAACTTTAACGTTTATCTCTCAACTGGTTAACGTGATGAATTAAACTGACGCAGGAACCAAGCCTTGAAGTAGTCGATTCTCGTTACTAACTCACAGGCCAATCACTATGAGTGGAATCGAGTCTGCTGTTCAGGTGAAATTTTTTAGTGTTGATTAGTCACACCAGTTTGTTCAGAACAGCGATTCGGACATGAGTACGTTCGACAGTCGAAAGAATGTTCGGCATAAGATTAAAGCGCAATCAGTCCAGCAGAATCAGGACAAACAATGGGAGAATAGAGGTAAAGTACTGTAGTCTCCAACTTCTCTCTTCGTATAACCTCGGCATTGTTGTAAATTTGATGTTCTATTACTTCTGCGCCAACGAGGTTTGTAGGTGGAACTTTATTTACGGCCTAACGTTTCGACCAGATCGTCGTCCTCAGAGGCCTAAACGTAGCTCAAGATTTTTAATTTGCTCTCTACACCGCCAAACGCCTCGTCGCCCCAGCGTTTCCGACGGTACTTCCAGAAACAACCAAAAACCTCCCGTAGGTAAAACATACCAAGTCCACCGCGGCATGAGCGGATCAACGCCGCTCCACTAGATGTTAGTAAAGTAAGTGAGACACACCGTGCCGTCCTTATATAGTAGCTATCAGGACTTGCACGTCTCACGCTTACATCATTAGCTCGCAATGTGGTGAAAACGGTAAGAGATCATTTGTTATGGCTAAACACTCATTTCGGTTATTCATTCCAGGATTATCCAGAATGAGCGCTTTTCTTGTGGAGTTGTGTTTAGCCATAACAAATGATCTCTTACTCTCCAGCTTCTCTCATTTTGTAACCTCGGCACCTACTTCTCAGTAACCTCGGCACCTACTTCTCACAAGTCAGAGGCTTAGCCATGGGTCAACGACTAGCACCAGTTCTTGCAGTATGCTTCATGGGTAGAATTGAAGAACCGGTACTAGAACGCCTTCCTCTAATGTACTGTAGATATATCGATGACTGCTTCATCGCAACATCAACACAGTCCGAAATGGACGAGTGTTTTCGTATAATGAATGAACAGTCACAGTACATTAAGCTCACACGCGAAGTACCACGAGACGGTTGGCTGCCTTATCTCAACACACAGGTCAAGGTATCCGGAGGCATTGTTAGTGTGAAGTGGTACCGTAAAACAAGTTCGAAGAACATCCTTCTTCATGCCATGTCAGCTCATCCACAATTCGTCAAACGTGCAGTTGTCAACAACATGCTGAGAACAGCAACGAGTATGTGCACAGGCGAAGCTGAACGTCAAGAATCACGACGTTTAGCATGTGAGATAGCTGCCAACAACGGTTATACGGTACCACAGCGTCATGGAAGGCAGCACACTAACACGCGAGAAAGTCCGCGCCACAACAAGCTGCCACTTTGTCTTCCGTTCATCTCTGATAAAGTCAGTGCTGCTATACAACGGAGCCTTTCTAGGGCGCAGTTGCAAGATGTGGTTCAGTTAGTGAACATTCCTAACAAGAACATCAAGCAACAACTAGTCCGAAACAGGCTCTACGACAAGCAGTGCGCACTAGAAGAGTGTGTCATCTGTCCGTACGGGAAAATTGGTGATTGCGCACAAACGGGTGTGATCTACCAGATTGAATGTCGGGCATGTGGATACACATATATCGGAGAAACAGGAAGACCGCTCGCTAAACGTATCAAAGAACACCTAGCCAGCATGAGGCGTGGTAATCTTGCAACACCGCTTGGCAAGCATAAAGCTGAAGTGCATGACGGCACAACTTTGAGATAAAATGCACAATATTGGCGCAGGAGACGGAGATCGCGGCGAGGAAAGCATTAGAGGCGTTTGGATTTCTGTTAGGAATCCTCGTATGAACAACCGAGACGAGCGTCCGTCAATTTCCAATGATCTCCTCCCATTCATACCATACTGCGAGCTGTGAAGTCACCAGTGTACGTGCGCCTCCGTATTTCGATACGTATAAGGGGACGCTATAGTAAGTCCCATTCACTACTGGTCGACTAATGGTATAGCGGGTTATTCCGCTTGCGGTGGAACAGAGGTGAGCGCTTCTTTCGTTTTGCGGGAGATTCTCGGTTGGGTTAGGACCACGTCATCGGAAATGCTGGGGTGGATTAGGCGCTTGGCGGGGTAGTACACATCTCTAAAACTCGAAACACTTTTAGGCCTTTGAAAAAGACGATTACGTCGAAACGTCAGGCCGCTAAAATAAACTGTTCCACCTAAAAACCTCGAGAGGCACAAGAAAACACTGATCATTTACTGTTTCCACCTCATTGCGAGCTACTGATGTAAGCGTGAGACGTGCAAGTCCTGATAGCTACTATATAAGGACGGCACAATGTGTCTCACTTACTTTACTAACATCTAGTGGAGCGGCGTTGATCCGCTCATGCCGCGGTGGACTGAGTATGTTTTACCTACGGGAGGTTTTTGGTTGTTTCTGGAAGTACCGTCGGAAACGCTAGGGCGACGAAGGCGTTTGGCGGTGTAGAGAGCAAATTAAAAATCTTGAGCTACGTTTAGGCCTCTGAGGACGACGATCTGGTCGAAACGTTAGGCCGTAAATAAAGTTCCACCTACAAACCTCGTTGGCGCAGAAGTATTAGAACATCAAAAGTACTTGTAGTGTTTCCTGACGTCGCCAACTACTTGAGTTTATTCCAAGTAGCTTGGTGAATCTTGAGGGGAAGGTACGCGTTCCGAAGACTAGATGAACGCCTACCTTCGAGAGTACTGATTCCGCTCATGTGCAAGGTGAATGGGTCCGCAGTTGCGGTGGTGTGCCACTTTCTCCGCTTAAAAGTGCATGGCGACGGGGCTTGAGGGTAATGGTGCCATGTGCCATTCTAGACTCCACCCTTCGCTCAACCACCAGACGAGACCTGCGTGTGACTGTATCTCGTTGCTAGTTTGCGCCCTCTTACTCTTTTCTGGCCTTGGTAGGCATTTTGCCATTTATGTTGCTCGCTGTGGAAGCTTGGCATTGACGCCCATGCCGGCACGTTGGAGATAGCTACTGCCCACCTGCTATCACTACCCTCAGTCCCGTGAACTTTTGGGTGGCGAAACAGCTAAAACCTGTTCACGTAGTATATGGTGAGGACCCCTTAGCATCAGTTTTGTCATCGAGGGAGACATCGGCAGATGTGGGTGATCCGCCAATCGCGTCTCACAAGGGAGGTTGGCCAACTTACCATGGAACTTTGAATGGAGACCTGGGTAGATCGATAGAGTCTATAAGGTTATTTACAAATATAGATAGCAAAACTGCAACCTGCATTTCACAAGCAACTTATGAGCAGGTAAAGTTTGTAATGGTGCAGTAGGGTGGAGGCTTGGTGGTGAGCTGTGAAGCATAAGCGCGAATCGCATACGTCGAATCGAGTCGTGGTGGTTCAGTGGTAAGGTTCGACGTTCGACGACTCGATTCGACGTATGCGATTCCTCGCTTATGCTTCACAGCTCACCACCAAGCCCTACTGCACCATTACAAACTTTACCTGCTCATAAGTTGCTTGTGAAATGCAGGTTGCAGTTTTGCTATCTATATTTGTAAATAACCTTATAGACTCTATCGATCTACCCAGGTCCATTCAAACTTTCCACGGTAAGCTGGCTGGCGGACATCCCTGGTCAGCCATACAACCCAAACATGATCCGTAGCTGCAACTATTATCTTACACATACAGTTATAACTGAAAAGAGTCCTGCAGCACTTTCAACAAATTGTTTTGAAATGAAACAGTATGCATGTTGAATGTTTTCGCCCATGATCAGGGAAGGCAATCTCCGAGGATTTTTGTAGACGGGGATGTTGTGGCTTTGTGGACGCTTTTGGAGCTTCAGAGTCCCCAAATGGCAAAGATCTTTTTGACCTATCCTGTATTATTCCTGTAGAGCCACTCTGTCGTGGTTGAGGAAGCCAGCAAGTGCGTTGCCTCCAAGAAGAATGTCGTTTTACATACCGCTGGGTCGTGTAGGTGTCAGCGCTTGTAAACTGGTGTCATTTCATTCAAAGGAAGGCAACATATACACTGCGAAGCATAATCATAGTTCCACCCATGAATCTCACAAAATCCCGTCTTACACGACGTTTTCAAAAATGCCCCCATACAGAAAATGTGGTAATTACCAATACCAATTCGCATGCCAACACCAAACTCTAGCTTGAAAAAAACGAATTTTTTTCGTCAATTTT